GTAACTTGTTGCGGCATTGTTCTAGCCGAAACTTCTCATGTTTCGTCCTTGGTTCTGCCGAAGTATTTCCGATCTCGGAAACAACGTCCAGAGCAAATACAGAGATAAGTACAGAATACGTGTTAACTCGCGGGGATGTCTAAAATAATAAGATCTAAACGAGTTGCGTTCAAGAAACACTGGCGTTCATGCGCTAATTTACAAAAATACGTAAACCAAGATGGCGCTGACAAAATCAAAACAACAACGGAGAGTGGAAAGATCGACGTCGGCAGTGTTACAAAATAGCACTCCTAATGTAACGTTTGTTACTTTGTATCAAGGGTTATATTTTCAAACAACAGGATCACTTTTAAAGTACGAGTCGGGGTTTATTTTATATTTTGTAGAAGAGGGTATAAGGGCGGCTTTTTTTGTAATATGTAGTCTAAATCTCATCGAGGATTTTGGCTTATCGGCGTTCTTCGAATTCTTGCCCAATCTTGGCCGGTCAAGGGTAACCTAGTGGCCGCCATTATCTGAGTAATTTTACGTTTTGATCGCAACTGAATTACACAGAGAGTTAGAAACGATATTGTTCTGTGTGTGTGTACCAGGCCAGAAAATGATCATAGCTTGAGCTTGTACCCACGCCATGTATTGTTAGAATGTGTGAAATTAGAACAATAGAGGATCTGGAGAAGTGCGCATATGAATAGAACAGTTGGCGGGAAGATTTTGCAGGGGGGCAAACAGCAAGGTAAACATTTCTAGAGCCGGCCCACGAAAGTGTCAACCAATCATGGACAGTTGCCAACGGTGACAAGTGTAATTGACATCTAATTTTCATTAATATTAATTAGCCACGAGTGGTGATTTTTGAGGCCGTTTTAGACCACCGTGATTAACTTAATAATACTGAACAGCAGGTTTCCACATATCTTCATTTCTGTCTGAAACCAGACTGTTGGGACCTGATAAAGACCTGTTCCTGGTGCTAAATGCTCTCAGGTTATAGTTTCCACACTATTGCCTGTCCTTGGTGCTGAAGCAGATCAATTGAAAACATTATCAGTAGACAGTTATTGGATTGTTCTTGATGCTGATAACCTGTCAAAGGAAAGCACCTGTCAAAAGTGTTTAACTTTTAGGCCACACCAAGTGAATTCTGTGGATGACATCTGCACATGAATTAATTTCGGTCTGTGTAGTACTAATTTCCACCTGTGAAATAAATACAAAGCAAAGCTTTGAAATACAAACACATGTAGTTGATCAATGGCTTCCAGTTTAGCTATGATAATACAACAGGCATGAGCCATTTAGCTAAAGAGCTTTCAGGAGAAGGATTCCATAATTGGAAAGAGAATGGTTTATAGGCATGTCTCTAATGCTGAAGCACAATCAATAAGAAAACCCAAACCTGTCCCTGACATTGAAACACCAACAATTCACAGGTTGCCTAAACATCTCTCGGGCCTGGTCCTGGTGCCAAATAAGTTCCAACACTACTGTTTGCCTGGTTGGTGTTGAAAGCAATCAGTTCAACACATGTTTGATTTGTCCTTGGTGCTGAAACAACTACAGAACAACCAATATTCTGTCCCCATTGGAAGTACTAATAACACAGCAGTTAATATAGGCCTGTTTGTGGTGTTGAAAAGTTCTTCTTGAATGTCTCTTTTTTTCATTTAAGCCATCAAGAGAATTTTTGAGTTTTGGGAACATGATACAAACATATATTTTGCACAGGGATGGCTTTTGCTTTATCCAGTCTTTGATGAATGTAGCAAGAAACACATAGAATGATCAGACTACCAGATGTTGTCAGCCAAATGCCTTGCACACCACTTTGTTTCCTGACAGTTAATAGCTGGTGTGCAATATGTGCGTTCACTTAAATCAGGTGTTAATATTACCGGTAATCTGACTACTACAGTCCTGAACAGTATGAACCAAACCATGTTTAATTAGATTTGATCATGAAGAATTTCATTACAGCAAGTCCCCAGAACAAATTCCACAAGAGACTCTTGGGGGAGATATTAAGTAACTCGAGTCATTAATGTGTTCAGGGAAGACATAAATTTTCATTATGTACCGTGTCTTTACTACTCACATTGAAAGGGAACACAATGACCCTAAAAATGGATTTCTCGGTTTTTAAAACATGATATACGGTAAATGACACAATGTTTACCAAAGACATTCATCCTCATATAGATGGCAAAGTTCAAGCGTAAGTATACCCATGCATCCAGTGCAGTATTATGTTCACTCAACTCAAATTTTCACACACGTGCAGCGGGGAGTGTGACATGTAATAAAGGTTAGGTCTGTATTGTAGAGAAAGGTGATTCGTAAGTGTTGTTTGGTCTCTGTGTGCTCGTGCATCAGTGTACAGATGTGTCTGTGAAAGCATTAATCAGTTTGTCATCTGACTATAAGACTATTAACAGTTCTATACTTTATGAAGCTATTCATTAACTGACAATACGGTACTTACTTTGTATCTGCCTAGGCTAAATATGAAATATTGCTTGGATTGTAATGTGTTTTTATCTCTTAGTTAACATATTAAAGAGATTCATCTTTTTCATGGTTGTACATACATCATGCACCCTGTATAGCCGCCATTTCTTTACACTAAAATACTTCCTTGTACTGTTAAATGAGAAGAAAAGTATTTGAGATTTTACTTTTGTACAACTGTATGGTACTGTTAAAAACTTTTGAACCAATATTTTATCAGAAATATCATTCTATAGTTTAGATAATAATTTTTTCAAAGTCTATAATGTTACTGATGAGTATCTTGTATTCAGAAAGAAACATTGACCCTTCTACTTACCAGTAACTATGACACTGGTATTGACCACAACTGTTCCTCCTGCATTGGTCACTACACAGGTGTATCTTCCTTTGTCTGATGTATTGACAGAAGATATTTGTAGCACTCCTCCCTTCAGGGTCACCCCAGTATCTACTGTCCTCCCCGCTGGGGAAATCCATGATATGCTAGGTTTGGGCTCTCCCTGAGCGAGGCACTGTAAGCTCAGCTCGCTACCTTGCTCAACCTTCACTGTTGGTCCCTGGGAGATGGCTGCTGTTGGCAAGTTACATTTCATGTTTTGTAGTAGTTTGGCACGATGCAACTTGCTGTGCCGTAGAACATCTATGCCTTGGATGGCTGCCGGAGTGGAACAGTACACACTCCTCCAGCCATTTGTGTTTGCTGAGATCAACCATCTCATCTGACAGTCGCAGTTCCAAGGGTTCTCTGTCAGGGTGACCTGCTGGAATGTCACTTTGTCAGGAAATGTGTCTCTGGGAAGACTCTTAAGCAAGTTGTAACTCAGGTCTAACTTCTGCAATGATTTCAGCTGTTTGAAAGCTCCCGTTCCAATGTATGTCAAGTTGCAGTGATCTAGGAACAGTTCCTTTAATGACGTCATCCCCCGTAATGAGGCAGAAGTCACCTCCTCTATAGGGTTGTTGTTCAGTGAGAGTTCCTTGAGGCTGCGTAGCTGTTGTATGGCCGGAGATGGGATAACTGAGATGTTTGTGTGATGAATGATAAGTGACACGAGGCTGTCCAGCCCTCGGAACGCCTTGGGAGTGATGTTGGTCAGTTTTTTCCAATGCCCAATGTGGAGGATCTGCAGTCGTGTTAGGTTGCTAACAACATTTTGCTTCAGCACCGCACTTTTCATGTAAGAAATCTCTAGTGTCTGCAGACTGCGTAAGTGGATAAATCGGTTTGTGGGGAGCTCAGACATCTTCCACTTAGACACTATGAGATGCTTGAGAGAGTCCAGCCCTTTGAATGCCAGCTCAGTCACAAAGAGGATGCCGTTCTCCAATAGATCCAGATATTCTAGTTTGGCCAACTCTGCAAACCCCATGTCTGTTAGCAGGACTAATTCATTCCTGTTCATATCCAGTCGAGTCACATTAGACACGCCTGCAAAAGTACCCTGTGAAGGGAAACATTTTATCATTATTGAAACTGAATCAGATGATGAATTTGCTACTTTTATATTTCAACATGTCTTGTAAACTAGTTTTGTGCTGGCTTATATGTAACTATAGGGTTATTTTGGCCAAGGATCCAAATTTATGTTACCCGGTACAATATGATATACCTAATGGTACATGTGTGATCTTATAGAAAGATCTGACTTACCCTTGGTATCAGACTCAACCTGTTTCCACATAAGTACAGACTCTTCAGTTGTGACAGTCCATTGAATGCTCCCTCCTCCACTGTTTTGATCTTGTTGTGGTTTAAGTTGAGATGGCTTAAGTTGGGATAACGCACGAAGGTATTGCGTACAACCTTACTGATGCGGTTTCGCTCCAAGTTGAGGGTTTGCACTGAAAATGGAAGGTGTGTGGGGATGTTCCTCAGGGTCTTGAGAATACACGTCACTGAGTTGTCTGAGGCCTCACACACACATTTCTTTGGACAAGGAAGGAATTCCTCACACTTGATCACCAGAACACTAACAACAACTAGAGTCAGAATCTGCAGTAGAGATGCCATCGTTGTAGATTTGGATCTGGGATTTATCTTCATACTTGGGCTTGTTCAGGGCACCAACTGTGTGTTGTTAGTTGCTTGTTACCTGGGTTAAGGCAGTCAGCCCTCATCATTTCTCTGACCATTCCCTGTATGGTACATTGTGTTGGTCATCAAGTCTGCCCAGATTTCTCCAGCTTTCGTCATGACCTTGTCCACTTGCTCTGTCATGGTGGGAAAGTCACCAGATTTCTGTGGGACATCAAATGTGGAACATGTATGTTAGATTAGAGTGATACAAGAGTCACCAGAGGAATGTGTTAAAAAGCTAGCATGATTTTGATTTTTTTTTTCCAAATTTTCATCCCCAATGTATGTTTTTAGCTCCTTAAAGTCAAATGACCTGACATTTGGTATGGCCATTTGAAGAAATAATTGCTCATGCTCTTTTTACTGGACCAATTGGAAACTGAGCATGTTATGTAATGGACAAATAATAAAACATGCAATCTGTTATATTTGGAAGAAATATTGCATATACATATATCTAGTTGCTATATAAAGTAGGCATCACTTATGACTTCATCTGTTCCAAGTTATCACAGAGAAATCTGTTGATCCCACATGATGGATGATCTTTGGTTCAGCAGTGCTATCTCTTCTATATCAAGTGTCTCACGCACTAGCTACAGTGTATATTATCATATCCCGGATGTTCTTTATCATGCTTAGTGCATATCAATTCTAGATAGCTGTGCTATGTATTTTTAGAAATCGGAAGCAGCTCTACATGCATACCAAGAAATGAGCCTTGGGATCCCGGAAGTACTTGCAAGCAAATACAAAATCTCTCTGCATCCTCCTCCATACAAGAATACATGTACATCATGATTCCAAAATTACCCTAATATGTGGACTGGACTAAGTACAAAAATTAATCCCTTATTCCCTGTGTAAAAAACAACTATTCTTGGACCAACATTACCCCCATGTAAGAATGGATTTTTAGATTATTTGGCTTTTTTATAATTGCACTGTGAAGACCAGAAAATGGGCAAAATATCTCGATACACTAATTTTTTTTAGAAAGATTTGAGTAAAAAGAATGAAGAAAAGGCCCTGAGGCTCCCACCTACTCCATACAATATTTATTATACATCATTTAGTTGTATGTCGTATTAAGAACCAGAAGTATTCCCATGTTTTGGCAAAAGTGATGTTGCCCTGACTCAATACAACTACTTTGCAACATTACAAATGAAGAAAGTAAAGAACCTATGGATTAATATTCTCAGTCTACCCTCATATCAAATTTCACTGAAAGATGAAAGCATGTTTTTCGTATACATTAAGGGGTTTTATAAAATTGCCTGGAGCAAGAGAAGCTTTGAACAAAGCAATTTAGTTCCTCCTTATATGGTAGACTTGTGTGTGATTGTGAACAAGAACCTTCATGTATGTTGCCTAAAGGCAAAATAAGCAAAATCTCATTAATGGAATCAAAATGTCTGTAGCGGATTTGGACTGCTGTGAATCATGCTTATGAATAAACTTAAAGGCACCACACTGTGTTGCAACTTTACGATAACAAACTTGCCGTCATCATATACAATATCAATGGATGATGGATGTTTATTGTATTTTGTGAAATGGTTCCCCTCAAGCAGTACCATTTGGACGATATGTGTTCATTGGTAAGGCATTGGAACAAGCAAGATTTATTGTTGGACATCCTCATTTAATGCCCTGCATTAGTTTTATGTTACTATAAGTTGTCATTGAAAAATTTTTGCCAGAAATAGTTGTCATTTATTGCATTGAGAGTGGCTATTTTGACTGGTTATTCTGAGATTTGATATGTCAAATGCATGCATTACCTGCAATCCTAGATATAGAAAGCTAGGCTGATTGGATGCCTGTGGTTATATAGCGTGAAAGCCTATCATCAATCATGGTGTGACAGAAATGATTAGATTTCACTTGATATTCTAGCACTAAGACCTATGGAGGCTTGTATGAGTCAAAATATTATGGTAAGGAAAAGGCCATGACAGTAAGGAAAGGACAGTATACATTACAAGAATGCCAACAAAAGCTCTTGGGGCACCTTGAAAGATAGGCCTTAGACGTAGAGAACAAACGCAAAAATTACTGTCCTGGACTACCCTTCCTGTCAGATAAATGTACTTTGATGCCTGGAATTATGTAAACAATGAAAAAATGTCTCAACAAAGTTTAGCAAACTGCTTTCTCCCCAGTATTTGACCATTCTCCTACCATAGTCTATTAAAAGATGGTAGCTATCCTCATTGGTCAGCAAGTTATGAATATTTTACTTAGCCAGGTTTAGGTTCGATATCGTGAACCATCTGTTTTATGTGGCCTATAGTCATTAGTTGCCTGGAGCATTTTATGAAAGCACTTAGTGTGTTTAATGATTCATAATTGTTTAAGAAAAGAATTTCAAAGTTTTTTTCGTGAGCAAGTACTCATTGAAAGATATTCTTAATTAAGTTAACATTATCTTCTGAAGTAATAATGCCCTCACGCCACCTTCAGGTGCCAAAATGTCTTCACAAAAAGAGAAAGAAAAGGTTGCCATCATTTCATGCCCTTGTGGGCTTGCAGCCATAACAATTAATGGTCAGCAGGAAATGAGGTCAGGCAAAGAATCAAAGATCAGCCAGACCAAACAGTTCTTTGCCAGATTCCTGATTGAGGTCATAGATTAACCTACTTCCGAGCTGTAAGAGAGACAATGTCCAACATTGGTCAATGTTTCCTGGTAACAGTTGTCCCATACAATTGCCACCAGCTTGAAATCCATTCTGTGAAGAGCATCCCATTGTCCTTATTGTCAATATGAGAATTTATTTCTACAATAACAGTGGCTATTAGTAGGCTTCTTCCCACATTACATGCTCAGTAGGGTTACCATTACCTTGCTGTTCAGCTGTTTGTGTTACAAGTAATATTGGTTTGTGAATTCATGCTCTGTATTGTGTATTGAGGACATAACAGACAGTCACGTTCATTTGTCAAACAACTCACAGAATTAATTTAATAAAATCTTCATGTCTATAATGATGAACTTTGCATCCCAAGTTTGACCTGTCCAGTCTTGTGTTTTATCTTGTGTTTGTGTGTCTTCTAAAAATGTTCTATACAGTAGATTGGTGTGTGACATAGAATTCCTTTAGACTTGACAAATGTATCCTGCTGTTGGATAAAAGAACTTAGTCAATTGCGAAGTGTCCTTTTTGTTTCCTTCTGACTTATCAGATCTAACACTCTGTACACGGTAATGCCCAGTATTGATTCAGCCTAGATGACATCCAGCTAGCCAGACAGCCTTAAGGTAGTGCAGTGACACAACAACCAACAGCAAAGATTTATATCAGTGTCCTGAGCAGCGCAGGTCTTGTCATGACTGCACAGAGCCAATGACCTATTGGATCATGTCTGACATGGTCCCTCTTACTATTGAAGAGCAGCAAAATATTCCTGTGTCTTTTAACACAGTGACTATAAATCAGTCATATGGATGTTAGAGACTGACTATTTGCATATTTAGCGCAAATTACTTTGACTAGTTCCACTTGTATTACAGCAGACAGCCATTGGGAAGCTTAAATATTTCTTTTTTTATGGCTGGCACTTCCAATGATAAATCCTAGGAAAGCAATAATGTTTGGACAACTTCCAAGGGAAAAGGAAAGTCAAGGCAGCTCTTATACGGTCTTAATTGAGTTTAACCTGAGGAAAAAGATGTTGCCTTACCTTGACACTATGGGCCACCTTTGCATTGAACTCATGGAAACAATTCCATCCAAGATTTCCAGATCAATGAAGCAGCCATGCATGTGGTCGTTTGGGCTCCTACTGATATTTGTCACGTTCAAGTGTAACATTTACTCCTAATCCTTATGCTGCTCTGCTGGCCCACAGGCAGTGGAGGGGATTTTTTGTGAAAAGTCAAGTCTAAAGGAGACAATTTACATTTCTAAAGTCTTTTTTGTGGTTTGGAATTTTGCCATCCTAAGAAGGATGATAGACAAGACTTTCCCTGATCAATAGAAAGATTGACCAAAGCAGACACTTGTCTGGAAACATGCAAGATCACCAGATAGTGCAGACTTTTTCCTGATGGGAAATGTAAAATACTGTAACAGTTGTAGTGATAACATTGTGTTAACTTTGGTAAACCTTGCATTTTTAATTGTAAAGATGACTATATAATAATCATTTGGTTTTTAAATGATTATTGGTTCCTTCATTTAGCATGTGGCCCTGACCTGCATTGCCTGAAGAGATTGTGTAATCTATCTTTGTCTTACATTACATGATTCATTGTCATAACTGTAACTGTTGGTTGGTAGGGAAGTGACTCGTGGTGTGCTGCTGTTAGATTGGTGTCTTTTCCATACATCAGCAATGTCAACAGCACTTAGCAAAATTGATCAGCCCTCGGGCTGTTTTCCCCTTGCGTAGTAGATACAGGCTTAATGCACTGCATGCCCCACAAGGTTAATGTAGTATAAGTACACACATTGCAAAAGGTCAGTGCCACACACAGTGGTCGTTTGCTACATACATTTACACCAGTTAGTGTACCTTTCTGTGACTTTCCTTGTAGGCTAACTCCCACAGTAATGGCCACCATATCGAATAGCACCTCATTTCCCCAGCAAATGTCCATCCAAAACAATTGAACTTCATTGATTACTTCAAATTACCATTATCAAAATGCCATTCTTGGTCACACTGTCAAGATATCATTATGCAGAATGTCTTTTACAAAAAGGAACACAGTCATAAATAATTTTATCAAGTTTATCAAAATTAATGAAAATTAACTTCAACATCTTTGTTACCAGTTACAAATTTAACTTATTATATATGAAACAGTGTGCCTGTAAGCCTGTTGTACATGTATTTGAGCATGAAATATTTTTAAAGTCTTTCTAGACAATATAATCTCCATGAAGCCTAGGCTTGAATTTTGCAAAAAGATAGCCTGCACATCAGAATCCTTGCTAGAAATTGGTAGGCTATCAAAGTGCTAAAAGACCTCTGCCTTCAAACACCAGATGAATGTTTTAAAAAATGTGTTTCATAACCACATACCTTCCCCAATAAATCATTTCAGTCAGTTCCAGTCTGAAAACTGAATATTTCACACAACACATTTAGTGACTCAAAGTTTGAAGTAGGTGATATTGATATGTAATGATTTGTGTAAACTATCCAATCTAAGATACCAGACTGGGTGTCTCCATACTGTGGCAAATAGTAACAGTTACTGATAATTTATGGAATGTCCTGTCAGAATATGTAAGAAAGGCTTAATTCCTTTGATACCTTCAGTGATCACAGAATCTAATAAAGTGCACAATAACTGTGACAGCAATCCAAATTCTCTCTGAATAGGTTGAATAGTTACTGTTGTTCAGATACATACTAGATCTTTTTTTTGTACAAGTTAGCAGTTGAAGTGGAAAATTAAGCAATCCAAGAGTCTCTTTGTTAGATTGATGTTATTTATTGCACATGCCCAGGGGATATGGAGTATCATCTACTAGACTACTGGTATGTATTAGGCACCAGACCAATAAACATTATCAGCATTTATAGTCAAGGAGCGATACATGTACCGTACCTGTTTCAATATCATGGTAGTTCGAGTTCTTGATAAATTTTCCCATGTTTCAAAATGTGCCTTTGGTGTGACATGAAAAAACTTGAATAATCCTTATCAAAGTTGTGACATGTTTTCAGTATTGAAAGATTTGCAAAATTATGTCATTACTCAGTAGGTTACTGCACATGTATTACTAAGTAAAAAAAGTCTTGTGGGATTCCCACAGAAAACATTAGGTCTCATTGGAAAACAGCCATGACTAAAGATTATAGTGCCATGTCTCTCTAGTGTGCATACCGATGACTTCATGCATGTTAAAGTGTCATAAGAATTTCCAGTCTGTCATAAAATTACATGCCATTGTGGCACGAGGGCTGAAAGTAAGTTAGTAAACATGAGTATGGTTTTACATATAGGTGAAAGCTTGTTGTGCTTGGTGAGATAAGGGTTTCAATCAAACAAAACACACTTATTTCTCTACTTAGTAAATTTAGTGACATGGGCAGATATAGAGTACTAGCATACATGTAGGTGGATGATGTTTCTGTATGCATTGGACTACAGAGGGCAATTATTACTGCCACTGTGACAGTACAATATTGTCTTTCAGTGCTACTACATGTACAAGGGTATAACATAAACATGTCATAAGTGCTTATAACAAAGTTGTTGTGTCTCAAAACACAACAAGATTTTGTTATGTGGTTAAACACATTGTTTGTCCCACTTACCTTGTTGTAAACCCAATTGGTACTGAAGAGCAGTTAAAAAAGATTTCAACAAACATGTAATATCCCACAAAGCCTAAACTTGGGGGCATTTTTAGTGTCCAGATAACTGAGTCAAAACTGTATCTGTATCTGTATCTGTATCTGTATAGCCGGTATAACCGCCTTTCGGCGTAACACACCAGCTTCGCAGGCACGCGGCGCGGCGGCAGCTGGCTATATTACACCGATCGACTTGTTACACCTAACCCTTGAACTTCTAGCTCTAGACATTGTTTAAAGCTATCTATTGACAGTGCCCCTACTGTACTTGGTGACAGTGAGTTCCACTCTGCGATAGTTCTAGGAAAGAATGAATTCTTGAACACCTCAATCCTTGGTTGATAACTCTGGTACTTGAATGCGTGGCTATTTCTTGTTCTCTTCTGAGCTGGTATTAGGTACTTAGTAGTTGGGACATCCACCAGTCGTAAGAAGCAGCGGCTCTATAACAAAGCTAAGAAAACAGGCCAAGAGGAAGACTGGAACAAATATAAGAGAGTTAAGAAGGGAGTTCAGAAAAGCATAAGACAAGCACACTCTAAATACGTGGCAGACATACTGGGAGAAGCTATAGTTGACAAACCCAAAACATTCTGGTCGTACATAAAAGGACTGAGGAAAGACCTTGTCGGGGTAGCACCCCTAAAGGTGGGAAATACCATCATCAGTGACAGCGGGAAAAAAGCAGAAGTACTCAGTTCACAGTTCAAAAGTGTTTTCACAGAGGAAGACACCACAGATATGCCATCTCTAGGTCAGCCCTGTACTCCTCCAATGGAACATATAGTAGTTTCTACTGATGGTGTCGAAAAAATGCTTCAAGGTCTCAATCCCTCTAAAGCATCCGGACCAGACCAAATACCACCGTGGTTCCTCAAGTTGACAGCTAGTGAAATCGCGCCTGTTCTAACCAATATTTTCCAACACTCGCTAAACACTGCAGAAATCCCTAAAGATTGGAGGGATGCAAATATATGCGCCATCTTTAAAAAAGGAGATAGAGCGGTCCCCAGCAACTACAGACCTGTTTCACTGACCTGCATATCCTGCAAACTACTTGAACATATCATCCATAGCCAAATCATGAAGCACCTAGAAAGTTACAGTATATTAACGGATTACCAGCATGGATTCAGAGCCAAACGATCCACAGAAACACAGCTTATACTAACAGTCCATGACATAGCTGGCGCACTAAACAGTAAACGGCAGGTAGATTTAGCAATACTTGATTTCACTAAAGCCTTTGATAAAGTCCCCCATGGCAGGCTCATCTCAAAACTGGAGTATTATGGAATCCAAGGCCCTACGCTGAATTGGTTAAAGGCTTTCCTGACCAACAGGGAGCAAACAGTAGTGGTTGAAGGGAAGGCGTCGGCTCCAGTTAAAGTAGCGTCTGGGGTCCCTCAAGGAACCGTCCTGGGGCCATTGCTCTTTCTCTTGTATATAAATGACCTACCAGATCAGCTTGACTCAAATGTGAGGTTATTTGCCGATGACTGTCTATTGTATGTAGAGCTTTCTACACAGACCGACTCACAACTTCTCCAAAAAGACCTGAACACCCTGGAAGAATGGCAAAGCAAATGGCTCATGCAGTTTAATCCCGAAAAATGCTACATTATGCACATAACAAACAAACGAACACCACATGCAACTAGCTACCAGTTTTGTGGTCAGGCTTTAGCAACCACAAAAATCCATCCGTATCTGGGCGTCACGCTGACAAGCGGACTGAAGTGGGGTGCACATGTTAATAATATCACAACTAAGGCGAAACAGACATTGGGAGTGATTAAACGTAATCTGTGGGCATGTCCAACGAGAGTAAAATCACTTGCATACACGTCACTTGTAAGACCGAACCTAGAATACGCTGCGACAGTATGGGATCCATATACAAAGAAAGACAAAGACAAATTGGAAAGGGTACAGAATCAAGCTGCAAGATTCTGTATGAACAACTATGTAAGAGGATAATGGAGTTACATATAATTCAGACTTACCCATGCAAGACTTACCTTGTTAAGTGAACAGCTCTAGCTACTGTGACATCCGGCAGCTTGGATCCCTACAGTCTACCCCAGACTACACCACAGGTAATGCTGCCTCCCAACCAAAAAATCAATTTCTGTAAGTGTCCCTCAATCTCCTGGTCATTGTGGTGTGAAAATCCCCAGGCTCCCATAGGTGATTTGTTCTGGCTGCTCCTGAGCTGTATTAATCTGACCCACCATGCATCAGACCTCAACAGGCGGTGACAGTAGAGCCAAACAATTAACGAATCCTTTAATCAGAATCCACCATGCTGCCCACCCTGTTTGCCCTGAAAGTTAAGTGTCTGAACGCCAAAGGTATCTGCCACCCCATGTGCAGACAGAGAGCATGTGTTCTAGACAGCTGTGTTAATTGTTAGATGCCATCCTCCTGATAACATTGGTACCATTTATCTTGTACAAATAGAACTATGTCTGGCTAGACTATGATAGATGTGGTAATGCCCTTACCTACAATCTCCTGGTGTATATTCATGTCCCATGCACAAGAGCAGCAGCTGTTGAGGTAGTGTACTCAGTACAATGTACTGTTAAGCCTCTGATTAGTGCCAAAGCAAGAGAGGGGTAGCGTGCCTGAGTTATACTGATGGACACAACCTGATTGTCCTCTACAGCTCCTGCATCATCCCTTTCTGCTATCAGATAATTTTCTCTGCATTCAGAGTGATGAGCTCAGCCAGGGATTGCACATCCTCACTTGCCTTGAAAGAGATCTCCTCTGGGCAATGTAAACCCTGCATTTATCTTCCCAAGACTCGGTGAAAAGCCTCTGGAAAAAAAATATATCACATATCTGATAGCTCTTACAGCTGAAGGCAGTTTCAAGAACCAGTTGTACCAACCTTCCATGTAGCATATTTTAAACCTCCCACTTAAAACCATTTTTCCACAACAGATTTTTCTCTATATGGTTACTAATAAAGAATTTGATTACTGTTTTTTATTATAATTTTATCTTTTATGTCATAAGCTAAAATGACTGAGTGTATGATCTTCACTATCGGGTACCTGGAGTAACATGGAATCACATGTAAATATTTTAGGTAAACAATTAATAGTGTAGTACACTTAAGTGAACTGTTCTCAAACCTGTAACACTGCAACATTTGGCACATTACAGGGTCTTGCCTAGAGGGGTGACACTATCGGGTAACATTTTCAGAGATGCCGTTAGGTGATATCTAAGTGTTGCTGCAAACCCACTCCCACATTATATTGCACATTTTATGTAGCATATCCTCAGAGAATCCAGTGATATACATGTACTATCCTCCCCCACATAACGAAACAATATTATATCTATATTTTGACTGATGAAGTTTGATACATCGTATAGAATTTCCCTCAGTTGATTTTTTCACATAGATTTAAACTACACCTGACTCAACCCAATACATGTCTTATGATGTAGTATGACAACTGTGTTGGATTTCTTGTCTGGGTGGCCATGTGTAAAATTACTTTGCACATTTACAGGGTGACACATCTCACAAATGACAGCATCTATTACATTTGTTCATGCTCCATGAGAAGTTGTATTGTACATTGTATTAGATAAAAAAACTTACAGGTGCCAATACTGTTGGCTGGTAGAAGTTGGAAGATATAATCAAGCTTTGTCTGTCCATATATACATGTGGGGAAGCAGCAATTCAGCAAACTTAAAGGGGGCATGTTAGTTAACACAAGACTATTTAATAGATGGAGGTCTGTTGAAGTTGGGCATCGCTTTGCCCTTTAGTGAAAACAAACATAAGCATTACATAGTATTTGTGCAAGTAATGTCAACTTCAGCAACATATTAAGCATTTTGCCACCATCTGCTAGTCGAGAGAAAAACTGAAAAAAGGTCTTGTACATGGATTCATGTTTCCATCAGTGCATTTCAACACTTGACAAAAGATCAAGCTGCTCTTGGGTTTCGGTTAATGCTGGCATTTATAAGTCTTGCTTCACCAAACCCAATCAATAGCATTGATTAAGCTTCGTTATTTCGTTATCATAATGACATCAGAGATCAATGTCTACCCCATCTAGAGATAAGCGCCAATCCAGAAATCTTGGCTGGTGTCTGATGCCAAATAGGGATTGATGAAAAAACTATTATGTGACCTGTCGTCTGTTTTGGCCTCGGTGCTGATAATATAATTGTTGTGAATTACTTTCCCATAATTCCTAATAATCATTGGTATCTTGTGCCAAAATCAAATAACTGGCACAGGGTCTCCCCTGACAAGGGTGCATCCATGTATGAAGGAATCAGAAGTCAGGTATTGCAATTTCAGCAGGTTATTAACTCTCAGTGGCCTCTACTGTTTGTGTCTGTCAAGAAAGGGTTTCCGTCTGAGTTCTTTATCTTCTATAGTTAAGTGTATTTTTCTTGTAGTATTGTCATCAAGTTGCAGAAAATTATGCTCTCTTTAGACTTTTAAACCTAAATTTTCTGTACAAAGCAAGTATTGTATGTCGTATATACAGTAAATGAACACTTAAAAAGGTCATTCCATACATCAGTTACACATGTCTACTGTTGTTATGCCAGACATCCACATTGCCATCAGCTCCCACAGTGTGTACAGCTGGTAGATGGACTATTTGATTGTTTCGAAAGTTACCAGACTGAAGGAGGACTAGAAGGAAATGGCAGATTATGCTAAAACACTTCATGGTCAGTGCTACATGTTTTTAATGTATTGTAAGCAACTACTAAGTATGTTTGACCTTCATACAGAAGTATAATGAGCCTTCCCTGGGTGTAAAATTGGTTCCCCTTCCCACACCTGGTGTCCTGATATTCAGGAACCAGGCCACACTGATTGATACACTTATTGATACAGTGTGTACTGACATCTGACTTTTGGATGATATGTATTCAGCCGGGTGGTCAATACTTTTTGTTTGGTTGGCCTGAGCAGATTTCACACCCAGTATTTGCTAGCAGAAAAAAAGTTAATCAACTAAAGGTCAGGAACAAGCTGGCACACTTCCATTGATTAAGAGTTGCTGTGCTGCAAGGAGTGAAGGTGTCGGCCTTGATTACATTATTGCCTATGATACATAGTGGTCATGCCGCAAAAATGTTTCGACCGCAAAAGCTCACTAGAGAATGTCGAGCATTATGCATGTAGAACATTTCAGACTAAATGCCATGTGTCCAAGCCACCATTTCTTCAAGATGGGTGGATTTTGTAAGAAATGGACTTAAGTATTCAGGTTCTGCGGACAGAGCGGCATGGCGAGAAAGAGTGGACTTGGTCCAGGCAATTCGCCCGACCTGATGATGATGATGATTCAGGTTCTACAGTGGCTATCACATGAAGAGGATTCAAGTTACTCTGCCATTTCAAAATGGTTTCAAGTTTTCCAAAGATCAGTGTTGCCATTTTTACTGCACCCCAGTGGCATTCAAAATGAACCATCATGAACATTTAGTGAGTACTTGTATTGCCTGCCAAAACATACAGTAGCTTCAACTTTTGGTACTCTTTCGGGTGCAACCTTTAATTGAGCAATAAGTGATATACTGGGGAATCCAACGTACATTTTCTAAATACATGTACACACATGTACTAGTAACGTTACATGAAGTCTTTCAACAGCAAAAACAACATTCCAGAAATATTCCTTTTTATATATGGCAAAGGTATTTTACCTGATCTTTACAGGTTTGATTGATCTTTCTATTTAATGTAGCTTGTATGTGGAACATTTTGCTACTATAGTATGTGAAAAGGTCACCAACAATTTTTCCCTTCTAACTTGCTAAATGTTAATGTAAGACAGTATGTAAAAGGTTAGTCAAACTAGCACTTTTATGTGGCTAAACATGGGGTAACATTCCCAAGGCTTCAGGCTTCCATTGCAATCATTGTACACCCACTTCATGAAACTTGTTTAAAGCATTCACAAACTTAAGGGTGTTTTGTGCAGGTTAGGAAATGTATTATTTACATACATATGGCCTAGTTGGACTTGATACATGCAATCTCAGTTGTCCAGCTGCTGGCTTTTCTCCCTCCTTGGTGCTGTGAGTAGATGCTGTGAGAACAGAGATAACACACTGGTATTCTTCATGGTGTTTGCAGTCATTAAAATGTGCTTTATAGATGAATGGGTCCATATTAGGCTTTCATGGGTAATTTAAAAGTAAATTGACATATGCCCAATGTACCGTTACATTTTAGCAATGTCTATGTTTTAGAAAAGTCTCCTCCTTCTAATCAACTTAAAATTATTTTGTAATTTTCTAAATGCCTATTCTGAGGCTCAAGAATGTGATAAGTATCAACAGGGGTAAGGTTTGAGCCTTCCTTCTACATTATCATGAATGAAATTAGACATGAAAAGGATTTTACCCTTTGTAGTTCCT